GTGGCTGAAGGACAGTGCTGACAGGTCTGCACAGTGGATCCCATAACACTGACACTTGGGCTTTGTGCTGAGCAAAGGCTAGTCAATCACTAATGCTAAGTGAGCAAAATGTTTCCAAAATGTGGAAGCGCCTTGTCCTGGTTTTTCTAGGATAGAGTTAATTTTCTTCTTAGCAGCTAGAAAGTGCTGTGTTTTGGTTTCAGTGTGGGATTTGTTATGAGAAGAATATTGATAACATACTGATGTTTTTAGTTGCTGCCGGAAGTCAAAGGACTTTGTGTTTTGCTAGTCTGCAAGTGCAAAGGACTGGGCAGGGTGGGGAAGCACAGTAATTAGCAAAACTCAAATTGGTATTTGGATATGCCAATGAGATATTCCATGTCATATCATGTCATGTTCAGCAGATTAACCAGGGTTGACCAGAAAGCTGGAGATTCTCTCAGGGATTTCTCGGGATCGTTATTGCAGGATTGCGGTTTCAGGACGGTTTCTGCTCCAGGATCGCTAGCTGGAGACAGGCTGAGCATCAGTTGGGAGGTGGGGAGCAACTGCACTGTGCATCATTCATTTGCATATTCTATTATTACTATTCTATTTCAATTAGTAATTTTTTTTCATAGCAATCTACAAGTCTCCTTGTCTTTGCCTCTCCAGTTCTCCTCCCCATTCCCTGGGGAGCAGGGAAAGCGAGCAAGCAGCTGTGCTTGGCTGCTACCCAAGTGAAACCACCACAGTCCACAAAAGCTAGAGGGTCCAACCCAGAAGACAGAAGAGGAAGAACCACAAGTTGTTCCTTTGCCAGGTCTACATCAAGGACTACACCAAATAAAGGGCAGAATATTGAGATGATACCCGAAGAACAGTTGTCTAGGACTGATGAGCCATTATATTCCAAAAAAAACTTCTGGCACAGACAACATCACAGCAGCGTGTGCTCTCGGAGTTGAGACCAACAGTGTGAAGGAAGAACGCTGACCTCGCCCCAGAACTAAAATGGCAGCAGAAAACTAGGTAGTAAGAAAATAACCCTGGCTCTGGAAGTTCCTATTATCTTATTTTTAAAGGGTTTGAGGCCTTTTAAGAACTGTGACTTCAACAGAGACAGAACAGAATTAAGGGTCAGTTAATTCTTCCCCTTCCTTGCAAGGGGAAAGGCAGCACTTACAAACTGCATTGTACCTGGATACTGAAGACTTGCAGCCAGCTATCACAATGTTAAAAGGTACACATGCTTCTTGTACTCAGTGTCAGTCAATTAAGTAAAAAACCAGGGAAATCAAATTTAGTATTTAAGAAAAACATGCCAAAGTGAAGAAAATGAAAAGAAGGAGTATTTTCAAAGAAAAAAAAAATACTGAAGCTGATCAAAATAGCAAGAGAGGCAGGGAGAAATATCAAAAAAGCACAGAAGGTCTTAGCACAAGAAAAAAAAAACATCTGACTGAATCAACTGGTAAGCAGACAAAGGATAATAAACACAGAGTTGCTTTCGCACTTGAAGTCAAACAGACAGTGTCCTTAAGAATACTTTCAAAGCAGAGTGTTTTAGTCAGACTGCAGAGCTGCAGAAAACTGAGAAAGTCAGGTTTGAATGTACAGGCTTCCAGACCTGTAAAGGAAAAGAAACAAAACCAGTAGAGCACTGGGTAAAGAGTTCTTTGGAAAAGTAAAAATACTCCTTGACACAAAGGGGTTCAGAAGAATTGCTAGCAATGGAGCAGGCGTTATGAGCACAAACAAAAACGAAGCCTGACACTTCTGCCAGAGCAGGTGAGGGAAAATATTGTCCACTAGTTACACTCATTTTCCTCTTACAAATAAAAAAAAAGTCACTGCTCATCAGAAAAAAAAAAAAATCTGATATAGTATCATTTTGTAAGTTTGTGAGAGAAAAGGGTTAAAAAGCTTTTGCTGACTTTTGTACAGAAGCATCTACTCAGCCTACAGAAAAAAAATTCTCCAGACTGCAATTTGAAAGATAGTAACTGAACCAAAAGCTGCATCTCTAGTGGACATAAATATATATCCAATAAAGTTGCTGACAATTTACCAAATAAAATAGTAAAGAATTGTTCAGGTTAAAAAAGAAAAAAAAAAAAGAAAAAGAAATACTATGGTTTCAGATTGTACATACAAATAAGATTTAATCGCTATTTACTTAACCATAAGTAATCAAGAGAAGAATTCCAGAAATACTTGTGTATATTAGAAAATTCAATTTTGTTTGCGTTTCCTTGTTTCTATATTCCTGGCTATTAAGTGCTCTGTTGCCAATTTGTTTCACAGTGGTTACCAATATGGTGCTGGTGGGAAACTTTTTCCAAGAAGGACTACTAAAAGGCTGAAAAGTTCTGGAAAAGATGAGTTAACTTAGTTTACTAAAATAACTTATTTTAGTAAAAACTTCCCTGAAGTTCTAAAAGAATGACAGATGAGAGACATCCATCACTTATGTATTTAATGATACTGCTATGAAACACATAAGAAATTTCTCATATTTCCATTTAAAACTTGAAAAAGGTCAGTACACGTATCAGATAACTTTTGCTTTTTTACTTTTCCCATAACAATAAAGTCTAGTCTCTTTTGTATAGTCTAGAAATTCGCTTTTTTAATAAAGTGAAAAGACTATGAATCTGCTTAACATATTTATTTCTTTTCATCTATTCAGTGCCACAGGGCGGTTGCATGTAGTGCAACACATGTTGATATTTTTGCAAAGCACCACATGACTCACTGTACTCTAACACACTCTATTAATCCTGTTTGGACAGCTGTGACTGTGCATTTGTTAGCTGTGTGTTAATTGTTCCATCTTTTTTCTTCTTTTATTTATCTCTATGGAAAACTATTCAGGAATTTCATTTGCTAGTCTTTTTTTTTTTTTTCTTTTAAGTGAGTTTTACCATTAATCTGTTTCCTATGAGACAACAATGCACCCAGCATGTATACTCACTTCCACTGAATCCATTTATTATCAGCTGTTAATCTCACAGAACATTAACCAATATTTTTATTTTTTTAAAAACAAATGATAAATGCAGTAACTTAGTGGACACAATATTAATGTTAAAATTCTATTCTAAACCACTAATTTTTCAACATAGAATCTTGCTCTAACTGCTAGAACTGTTTTACTTCTTAGATCTTTAAGGTACTGGCAATATTGTAAAAATGCACTTGAATTATTCTTTTGCATTTTTGTGAAGTTTTACTAGGGGCTTTTAAACCATGTGCTCTAGAACCTGTATTTTAATATTCAAACCTTCAAAATGTATTACAGGTTTTTTTGTGCTTGTTATGGAAATGATCTAGTAAATCTGAAATAAAACTTAATCTGTAGATATACACAGAATGAAAATATACAGTATAGTTTACCAGAAAATATTAACTTTTTCTTGATTTGACAGTATTCTGGTTGAAAAGAAAGTCAGCTACAGAACTAATGGGTACATATTACTGCTCTGTGGGCCTGAGCTTAAGCTCCTAAACTTGTACTTAAGGCTCATACAGCCTGAGGTGAAGATTTTTATGTTCTCTTTAATGTTCCCAATGAAAATCACATTAGCTGCAAGTATTCTGCACTACTTAAACATGCAACAGCCTTGCAATCTAACTTCAAGAACTCAGGTTGAAGATGACCTAATTAAACAAAGTGAAGACATAAGACATCTTGTCTTTACAACGGGTTAAAATAGTTTTTCCATTTCAAATGCTATTGCCAGTTCTTAACAATAAAATCAAAACTTCTTCAGTCCTATTATGCTGGATTCCAAATTTTTCTATTTGAAAACTGAACTAACAAAAAATGCAAGCAGATTATTTTAGGGAAAAATCAAAGTAGCCTGGCATCACTGCTGACTAAAAAGAAAACTTAATAAATGAAGAGTCATTAACTCATTTTAAAAAGCCATTTGCACTCAACATTATCTCAAATTGTGTACCTGAAAACCCCAAATGTATTTTTTACACAAAAACTGAGCACTATAATTTCACAGTTAACATGAAACTATTTTATGCTGCCCTGAACAAGCAATCTCTGTTCTTCTCACCATCTCCAACCTGCCTTTTTAAAAGAACATATTTTCTAGAAAATGCTTTGCATTTTTTTTTTAGAATGCAGGTTCTGTAGTTTATGTGTGTAGAATGTATCTTCAAGAGCTCATATTGGTGTAAAAAAGAAGGTCACACATACATGCTACTTCTGTTGAAAGTGATGGCAAATTCAATACATACTATGAAAGGTACAGCTACAGGCTGGTCTGTTTGGTTTTTTGTGGGGTTTTTATTTGGTTTTGGGTTTTTTAAACTCAATTAAACATTCTTTATTATAATGTTTTGTACTTGCATTTCACTTACCCAGTGTCCTAGACATCACTGGCAAAGCAGAGCTCAGCACCAAGATTGAGACACAGTTTCCAATGATCTGTTTGAAAACGAGAAACAGCCCTTAACTTATAGATAGGAAATATTTAAAAAAAAAAAAAAAAAAAAGAAAAAGGAAAAGAAAACCAGTGGTGAAGATAAAAAAGAATTCCTTAAAGTTACATTCTTCAAACTGAACCTAAAAGACTTTACAATAACATGTTAGTCTTGCTTACTTCCTCCATATGGTGTAACACACAATGAAGATGATCCAAGAGAAGAGTTTAAAAACAAATATTAAAAAAATCAAATATGTAATCATTTGCTTTTAATCAAAGTGTTACATATGCTTAGGTTGCAAATAATTAAAAACTACCATGTTGCAAAGCTTCAACTGTTTACTTAATTCCCGCAAACTTTTTATAAAAGAACCATTCCATGGGCTTAGACTGGATGACTGATACATCAGCTTAAGCTTTGTATGTAACTGCTTGCAGGATTAGCATTATTTAAAAAATTACAACAAAGAACTTCCTTTCAATGGAATGCCTGTTGACTACTTTAAATAGTACAAAAAAATTCACAGCTGTTAGATTTTACTCTAGTTTTTGTGAAACCTTTATAAAGAGTAATTGAAACTTTCTCTCACAAGGGATCAACTCTCTTTAGCTCTAATTCTATCAGAATTCAGAAGAAAAAAAAACCAAAAAGCTTATTAAGTAGAGGCAGATATTTGTGCATTCACTATTTATTTCTATGTGATACCTGTGTACTGTAAACAAACAACAGGAAACATTAAGAACATTCCAACTCCCTACTACCTTTCTACTGTGACCATTCTATGTATTTACCCACTTTCTCACTTCCAACAATTTATGGTAAAAATGTCTTTATCCATTACTTTAAAAAACAAAACAAAAGAACAACAATGAAACAAATTGAAAAAATAATTAAATTAAACATCTGTTCGTTGGTTACTGATCACCTCCCCTTGTCAGCTGTGGGAATATTTTGCTACAAACCTAAGCATGCTCCTCTGCATTAGGCAACAGCATTTGTTATTCTGAAGCCAGCACTAAATTGTAGAAAGTCAAATTAGCCTCAGACTGCAAAATGTTGCTGAATAGACCTCCTCAGTCTTAGTTTAATTATTCAAATTTGAATTACTTTGCCTGTATTACTTCTAGCAACCAAGTTCTTCAGATTTCAAACAAGCTCCCTGAAGTACAGTTAGCACAATCAAAGTTACTCATTAGCAATACGTTTCCTTTGAAAAAAGTTCTTTCACTAGTTTTTCTATAGCTAGTTAACAAGCTCTGCTATTCCCGGCTTTTTACAAGTGAATGGATGCCATCCAAACTAAACAGAGCACATCCTTTTTCCCACTCATTCAGCATTTTGAAAATCTTCCAGTTTGTGTTTACGCAACTTACAAACAAATACTGATCACTGCAAATGAGCCATTCAGGGCAATTACCAACTAAAAGAGTCAGTTTGTCTTGGGTGGCAAGAAAGAGGAGGGGGCCACCCCCATCACAGACTTTACCTTACCTTTGTCATAGTTGTGTCATCCTTCCTGGGAGTGAAATTTTCAAAAAAACGAAGGCTGTAGAAGCCGACGACAGAGGATACCATAAGATAGCTGTGAGAATCAAGGAAAAAGGAACCTCCAAGGAATGTAAGTTTCACTCAAGTTCTCAGCAGTCTCCTAAAAGTCTTAAGGACCAAAGACAAAAACAACAAAAACACTTCGAGTGCTTGAGAAGGACTGACCTATCTCTTTCTTCTTCCCAGGCAAGTGTCTTAGTAAATTACCAGTGTCCCAGAAAACTAGACTGAATACTTGTTAACAGACAGAATTCTTAAGGAAAGGATACAAAATCAAAATGATTTCAAGTGCCGCTCCCACAAAACCAAAGGTGGATAGGGAGGCATTTCCTATTCCAGGCCCCTACAAGGAGAAAAATACTTTGCATGGTTTAATATGATACATGCAACTGTTCATAAAGTTAACTTCTACCAAGACCAAAAAAACTAACATGAAATACAACCTTTTCTCAGTTCAGTATTAAAAGGGCATTCTGATGTTCTAACCTGCAAGTCTCCCACCCTGTGCAATTGCACCAGCTAGCTCTCAAACGTGAGTGAAATGCACTACTAACACAGAAAGTATAATCATTCACATTTTATGCACACTGCTGCATTTTATACCTACTCCATTACTTTGGAAACTAAAATAAGGTCTCAAAAGAAGATACTTCTAGCTGTTTGCACTACCACAGGCAGAGCAGTCATCATCACTGAACCCCTTTTATAGCTCTGCAAGCTCATATACAGCTACACACTGAGGAAAGCGATAGTATTTAAGTATTTTTATCATACAGGAGGAAGAAAATGTCATGTTTTGTAAGAGGAACACAAACACAAGACAAGCTTTTAGTATTTTTTTAACATAGTTTCTTAAATCAAACATTTCTAGACCATAAAAAAGTAGGAGACAGGAGTAAAACACAAACTCGTATTACTGATTTACTTTACTGAATCACTGCATCTTCATAAGGATTCTGGACTAGTTTTATTCAGAACTTGCTATAACATGACATGTAATAAATGTTTATGTGTGCACAAGACCAAAACCTAAAAAGTTGAGGCTCATTAGTTTAAATTTTATTAAAGCAAAAGTTCTCACTTGCACTTTTGTACGGACTCCACAGCATTACTGAAGTTATAAAAATCATAAGATAAGTTTACTTTACCCCTGATCCCTTTGGCATGGCAGTCTCATCAACCAACAGGTAAAGAATGTTGAGAGCAACTAGGAGGACTGAGATAGACTACAAAAGAGTAAAAAGTCTTGTTATTAATAAATATCCCACATTTTTTAAATGTAAACACTTGTCCTCACCAGATTTCATAATGTTCATTTAAAATGGTCACGAAAAGAATATCAAGTTTGTTGCTTAAAGACACAGCACTCAAAAATTTTGAAACTCTTGCCTCAAATGAAAAAATTCTTTATACTTTTTGTACAGGAAAAAAGAAAAAAAAGAAAAAAAAGCAAAACCTCTTACCGTCTCAATCAGTAGCAGTATCATAACAGCTGGATAGACTAAATTCCTTTCCCAAGCAGAAGCTTTTTTCCGCCTTTCTGTTCAGAAAAGGAAAAACAGAAGCTTAATACTGTAGATCACCTTAGAATAAAACAAGCAAAAATCATTCAGATATCTATAAGCTCTTGTTATAACTATAGGTAACGAAAGTAATCTTATCTTGAACCAACACCAATGAGTTCATAAAAATATCCATCCAGAAGAGCTGTACAAAGCAATGCCAAAACCATGAAGCCTCTTTAGAGAAAGGCTGGGGAGATGAGATGTACAAAGCAGATTTTCCTGCCTTGTTTACAGGCATGTTTCACCATAACATTTTTTTCCCTGGTACACAGCAGTTTTGCAAAGTTTAAAATATACTGGTTTTTTTTAAAAATGCTGTTTATATGTCTATTTTAGTATGACCTAAAGGGACAGAAGGGCATTTCAAATATTTAAACAGTATTTTCCTCTTCCCACATAAGGCAAGACAAGACTAACTCACTGGACATCACTAGTATGTATAAAGAAGACACAATTTTTTCTTACCACAGTCTTAGTTTTGCACATAATACACTGATAAATGCAAAATCCTGCCAGATTTTGAGGAAGTCCTGTTGAGTGGCTGCCATTACCAGAAGTATCACTTGTCAGTTTTAAAAGACACAAACCTGCTAAGAATTATTTTACTGTTCATAAAAATAATTTGGCTTTTACATAAATAATTTAAAAATAGAGGAAACTAATGTCTTAGATTATCCAAACTAATCATAAACATATCACTATACCTGAAAAGACCATGCTGTTGAGCTCCATGCAAGGAAGTCAAGAATGTCACATTTTCTCTAAAGTTATGTTAAAAATAAGATCCAAATCAGACTTCCTACTTAAATTTGTTTGTTAGAGGGGCTCAATGATTCCATGTGACGTATTTGTAGATACTATGACAATGTGAAAGGTCTACAAATGCACAAATTTGGTTAAGAAGAAACTGGAATTAATCAAGTGAGTGCTACAAGTTAAACACAGCATCTTAAGGTCATTCATTAAACTGCAACCCACATGAAAGAATAGAAAAAAGTTGATTACCTAGATTTGTTTTCTTGCTTTTCACTTTTTCAAGCTCCCGTTCCAACTCTACTGTCTGGTATTCCACGGTGGACGATACACCTTGTAAAAGAGAAGACAGTATTTTCTTTTGGGTGAGACTTAGTACTGTAAGACACACTGTGACAACTCAAGATGTAGGAAACATCATATTAACACTTGTGGCTTTAAACTGCAGGTGGTTTTTTGAGACTCTTCATATAGTTTTCAAAAAACAGAGGCTCAGTCAAGAAGCCGTATGAGGAGAGGCTGAAGTCGCTTGGATTATCCAGCCTGCAGAAGAGGAGACTGAGAGGAGATCTCATTATGGTCTAGAACTTCCTCACAAGGAGAAGAGGAGGGGCAGGTGCTGATCTCTTCTCTCTGGTGACCAGTGATAGGACCAGGGGAAATGGCAGAAGGACGTGCCAGGGCAAGTTTAGGCTGGACATCAGTAAAAGGTTCTTCAGGCAGAGCCCCCTTGAGCACTGGAACAGTCTCCCCAGGGAGGTGGTCATGGCACCAAGCCTGACAAGATTCCAGAAGCATTTGGCCAAGGCCCTCAGACACGTGGTCTAAATCTTGCAACTGTCCTGTGCTAGGGCAAGGGTTGGACTCGATGATCCTCATGGGTCCCTTCCAACTCACAACACTCTATGATAATTCTGTCTGACCAGAGAAGTTCAACACATCTGAGGTTTCACAGAGGTTTCTGCAATCCCTGCCTATTCTGTTGACCAGCTGCTGCAAGAAGATAACACCTGCTGCTGAACTGTTGCACAGGTCCAAAAAGCAGTTATGGTTTGGCAGCCTGATACAGGATGTCTCAAATGCCTCACTGTAGCTCTATATGATTCATATATCAAGATGTAAAGAATCTCTGGATGCCCTTCCAGGGCATTATTATTTAGCAACTTAAAGACAAAGTGGACCTTTGCCTCCAAACCAAGCAAGTTGGTGGCTAGACATCCAGTTTCAGGTTCTGCCTCTCCCTCTCTTTCCTCAGTCCTTTTTACTCAGCAAACTCAGTTTCCATACTGCCAGTGAGCTTGTTGACCTATCATCCGCTCCTATCAGTTTGCCTGATTTGGCCAGTCTCTGTGCCACAGAGCTCCCTCTGACAACCACAATCTGATCTTCACAACCACTCACGGTACCGTATTATTTCACTTTCCTTTCTTGATTCCAGTTCCTCCACAAATACTGCAGTGTTCAAGCAAGGATAAAGTTCTGAAATGCTGACAAGAGATCTGCTATTTCAGTTTTGATCTCACTATTTCTACTTTAGCTTTTAGTCTTTGCAAACACTAACTGGAAATACTATTCCCAGGATAAGTTAGAAACACTCTTCACTCATCTTTGTCCCACTTGCATCCCTTTTATTTCTGAATAAGTAAGTTAAAAAGTAAGTTAAGAGGGCTCATATTTTTCCTTGTCTATTCCAGACCAATCTCACTCTGCAAAAACACTCTGTGGCAGTGACAGCTCAAGGTGTTAATAAACCCTAAGTCCTCTCCGATATCTTCTTTCTTGATTTATACTGACACCCATCACCTGTTGGCCATTCCCTACCCTCAGCCTCACCTTTGATTGCAGACTAACCTGTAATAGTACCACGTTCCAGAGACTTTTTTAAAACACTTTCTAATAAATTTCTATGAGATTAATAGTCTTGTCCAGGCTTTTATCTCATATCTTGATCATTTACCTACAAAAACTAAATAGCACTTAAGTTGCTGGCACACTAACACTACTTTATAGTCCAATCTCATTATTTCCTTATTTTCTGTTGTCTGCTCATCTATCCAATCTCAATACAAGATAAGATGGTAAATTTCTCATCCCATCCAGCCCCCCACATTCTCCATATTCCAGCACAGTGAGGTCATACCTGAAAACCAAGATATACAGAAGTATTTCTTGGACTTTTTTTAACTTTTACTGTTTTTATTTCCAAGTATTAATACTGATTTGTTCAATGCAGTCAAATTATCAATGAGGTATCCAACTGTTTAAAAAATTATTTTTAAATGTTTAATTGCATGCTTCTCTCACACATATAATGCTTCTCTTTTGCATATAATGCATAACCTCTGTGCTATGCTTAAACATAGCAGCTTCAGTTCATTTCAGTTCTTTGATAGCAGTGACATAATGTGTATGCAGTAACATTTACAGGACTTCAAATACATGAATAGCTCAAATGCCAGGACTAGTCAGTAAGACCTATAAATGCTGTTTTGTTACAACTTCTATTCACTTAAAGTACCTGCAATATGAATGTCAGTTTAATTTCTCAGTTTTTTTAATAAGCAATCATAAAATGTTTTTTTTTTAGAAAAAGTTGGGTTTAAGAAAATGAATCTCATTATCATTACAAAAAATGGTTTTTGTGCTGATGTATTCACTCCAAAAAAGTCCAAAACATCTGTTTTACATAATGACTAATCACTATGAGTTGTGAAAAAGGACAGCTATAGAGCTCAGTGGAAAAAAGTCTTAAGAACTTTAATGGAAGCAATTGAAAAAGTAAGAAAAGTCAAATTAGGATCTGACATTTCCTTCTTCTCCATAACTGATTTAGGGGCCTCTGAGTAAAAGTTTTATTCATTTATACATGTTGTTTCCTCCTCTCAATATAAAAACCTAGAGCTCAAAACACTGATAGCCATGGGAGTCTTTCCAACAAACTCAGCGTGATCACATTAGGTCCCTAAGAGACAATTCAGCAGAAATTCTGAATCATATTTAAGAGCTGTTGTATTTCCTCCTTAAAAATAGCAGCAAACAACAGGTTGCCATACAAAAGGGTATTTTATGAAAGGGGAAGGCAAAGTTTCAGATCAGTCAAAAGAATATTTGAAGAGGATGCAGGTAAATTCTTAAAAGCTCTCTAACATTAGCTTTATTTCAAACGTGCACAAAGTTCAATGTCAGCGCTGTCTAGCCAATAAATCAAATTGGTAGACGAGACTTGTTTGGACTAGCAATGAAAAGTTAGAAGGGATTCTCCAAGAAAGCCACAAAGCAGCTCATTTAAGGTCAATTTAACGGTATTATTCTGTTTTTCTTCCAGCCCCGACATAAGATTTCAGTACCTCAAAGGAAATTGTAAGAGTATCTATTTGCATTCCCCCTAGGTGATTGGCAGTTCAACACCAATTAGTTCAAAATTACACTGTTACTAGCGTGCAATAAAAACAACACCTTTCATCTTTCTTACATAGGTAAGGATACCTTCAGAGCCAATAACTTTGATCAAGTAAGTATTTTTGATCCTACCCCACCCGTCTCTTTGGATTCAGGAAAACTAATAGCTGAAGGCAACTTTTTTCTTTTAATATAAAAAAGTCCCAGCTTTATTCTTCGACTGTAGGAGTGATGTGGGTACTGAAATATAATACACTGGAAACAAACATTTTCCCAAAGCCCAGTATCTCTTCAATAGATAAAAATACTAGGGCAGATAACACGATCAAACTTTCCCCTCCCTCCTCCTCCAATTTTCAGTTATACACTGCAGACATCTGAGAAGGAAGAAAATTAGTTTCCACAAAGAAGATATGCAGTTTCACAGGTAGATTTACTTTCATCCATGAAGAGCTTTACAGAATACTCCATCAATTGCATCACTGCCACAACAGCTACATCTATATGAATCAAGAAGGGCACCAGCTCACACAGCTAAACTTTTTTCATCATCTGAAAACAGAGGCTTTACCCAGCTTATTCAGTGGCAAGTGATTCAATGCTACACCCATCTTATGTCCAGGCATTGTCTGAGGAAACATTAATTAGGACAGGGCAGAGCAGTGCTAGGAGTGTCACAGCGATTATTCCACCAAGAAAAAAAGAAAAATCAGCATTGACAAACACCAAGCATTGCTTAAGCCTGTGCTCTGCTCTTCTTCAGTTTTAATAAAAACTCAACTCTTTGGTTATACATATAAATGGAGTATATATTTCAGAACACTTCACGGCTAAACTGTCCAGCAGGGTTACTTAAACATATATATTTCCACTACCACAAGTGTGGAAGAGTTGCAACAGCCATGGCATGGGAAGCATGTACCCCTATATATCTGCTCCGATAAAGAAACAAAAATATTTACACAGTATGTGTATTAAAGCCACAGACTGTGGCCTCTAACATCACAGCACTATATTTATTGATGTAATTAGCACCACACTTCCATTTGTACACATTTTTTTTTAAATACAATAAACATGAGAAGCATGAGTCTTTATAGCTCTGGCAAAAATGCTGTCTATTTTACTGGTATAATTTGTATGCATTAGAAAGACTTCTGGCAGAGAAGATGAAGCTTTCCATGCTTGCCACAAAAATGAGAACCATACTTAAAATTACTTAAATAATTACTCACAAAAATCTTGCAGAATATGTTCTTGTGTACATAACATATTGCCCGCCACCTACATGCTATATCCAAGTTTAGCCTTTTATTTACTTTTCAACTAAGTCCACTAATTTTCTCTGCATACCAAACTACTGGTTTTCAAGCATTCCTTCAGATGGTGGTGTCAACACCATTCCCTCAGCATGTGAAACAAAAGAATTCAGTTCCCTCTCTTGTCAAAGGACATTTAAGCCCCACGTCTTTCACTTCTCAAAAGCAGGCTGGTGAGAGCTCTGTGGAACACAGATGTGTTGCAGTTGCAGTTCCACTTTACGTGGAGTACAAATCTATTGGTTGAAAGAGAATCCAGTCTTTTGGCTAGTGGTTAGGGAAGCCACCTGCACACCTCCTAAATCCAGGTTCAATTAATAAATGCCTACAACCCAACTAGGTCCACCTCATGAGTGGTACTACTAAATTGCAATATCAACAACTGTTGCATAGACTTCTACACAGAAAAACAGCAGATAATCTTCACCTAAATAATCACATTCTCCACCTGAATAGTGAAAACCACTCTGCACTACTTCCCATAGTTACCTGAATAACTATTAGGTCATTCTTCTGTATTGCTTTCCTTGTACATAAGCACAATCACCATGACAACATAAAATATTCAGTAACAAATATTTTACAGTTGCTAGCTAACATCAAACACACAGAACAATTATAATTACCCCATCACAGCTTCAAAGACATTCACTGCATGCACCTTTTTGCATGTCTATATGTGTAAGTGTATATATACTCGTGTCAGTATAAAAACCTAAGCTTCCAAAACAGCAAAGGTGAACATTACTTGTAAACTCTATGGCTGATTTTAGCACAAAGAACTCGTTACTCCTCCACAGATTTTAAACTCTGGAATAAAGACAACCACCACAATCTACTGTTATCAAAGGTACTTGCCCTGACCAAGCTACTTTGAAAGGAGACTTACTGAGACTTGAAGGAAGAAAAAATTGAGATATCTTACAGAAGACTGAAGAGTAAGAGAAAGGCAGGAAATTAAGAAAATTAAGGCTAAAACAAGTCATAGGACAATACAACAATGGATGTGTCATGACATTAATATTCTTTGGTTTTCCAACCTGAAGCAATTGCATAAAATGTAGATAGATGGCTTATCCATGCAGTTAAAACCAGTTCAGAAGACAATTTGTACAACAGGATTTCCAAGTTTATGGAATCGATATATTTTCCGTAATTGGTGCCTGCCATGCTGTAATACTCTTACTCTTACTAGCCAAAGCTTCATACTGCTTTTGAAATACTTCGAAACAAAAGCACCTTATCATGAAGTGCAAAATTGTAATACTGAATAGAAGAAGTCTAAAAACATTTGTAAAATTATTCATTGTAATTATTAATTAATAGAAGTATTAAAGTTCTTAAATTTACCAAATAGCTCCTAGAATATAAAGGACTGCTCTGATGTTTAATGAATTATTATCATTTAAGATTCTAAATAATAATGAACTGAAACAGAAAAAAAATTCCTCCAAATAAAAACACATAGCTCATAATGCAGGAAGTTGAGCTTCTTGCTAATATAAATTCATTGTTTTTCAGACAAGGCTAAAATACAGTAATTTACCAATCCAAACTATTTTGTAGTAAAGGTGGTGGGTCTGGTCAACTACCCAGTTGGTTTTCTCAGTCCTGAAATACTCACATATTAAAGCTGATGAGCATGTTAAAAACATGAATAGAGCAAACCACACACACACACACACACACACACACGAGCCAGTCTCGAACAACACAGTGAGCAATGGAATGTAAGCCTGTAACGCCTGTTACATGCTAAGACATTGAAATTTTCTATTTTCAGAGGAGAGGTTATGTAACAGTGAGATCAGTACTCGTGACCAGAGCCACTCTACACTAAACACTGTATTTGAAGCAGTATCAGAACAAGCATACCACCATTAAGCCTCCTCTGAATTGCTTCTTCCTCTAAAGTGATGATATACATCTGCTCATCTAGGTCTTCAAGAATCTGTATTTGGAAACAGAAACATGAACTGACTGAGTATCAGTCACTTGTTTTTCTGGCTGTACTAATCTAGTCAGGTTTGTTTTGTTCTAGTAACTTATATTTTAAATAACAGTCTACAACTTTACAATAAGAACTCCACAAAAGAATATTCCATTCTGTTACAGATCTATTTCTTTACTGTAAGCAAACTTCCTGTTAAGTTTTTACTTCAGGTTATAGCTCTTATGTTCAGTTTCAATCTAAAGAAACTTAGGGAACGGGATAATACATCTAACCTGTATTCAAATAATTCAAAACATTCAAATAATTTCTAGGGAAAAAAATTAACAACCTATCAACATTCACACTCAATTTGCTTTAAATAAAAATAACTGCAGATATTTTAAAAGTATATTAAAAAGTGACTTTTCACATAGGCCAGCATTTCAAGCAAATATAAATTGCTATTGGAAGCTAAAACCAAATAAATGAAGTCTGTCTACCTTACTGTCAGGCACTTTGAGTTCAAAGCTTACAGACAGCAAAACGCAACATATTTTCTCTGTATTTTCAGATTTGAAGTGACTAATGAAAAGGAATGCAAGACCTAAGTGCACCCAAGTGTTAGTAAACACAAACCAGGAGACACAACAGCAGAGTCACTAGAGCACTTGCACATGGTACAAACTTCTCCCTTCCCTCACAGATTCAGCTCTATCTATGTAGAAGAAGTTCTTACAGATGCCAGCTACCTACATTTCACCCACCCAAGTGTAGCCCCAGGTACCCTTCTTGTCATCCAGCCTTAGTTTAGCCTTGTATGCTTTGCTCTTGAACTCAGAAGAAGCCCACACTTTTCAGGCATTTGCAAAACAGACATAATAGGCAATACTGGCAATAAATATTAATACTGCTAGCAGTTATATAAATTGCAAAATCAGAGCAAGTCTGTACTACTGAAAAAAACCTTTTTCTGAGGAAAAACAGGTTAATAATTAGCAAAAACCAAGACAACAGGTTTTTGTACTATATGAAAAGTTTTAAACAAATACATAAATATTGACTATAGAAACTCTCATGAATTGAAGAGAGAATTACATGGAAGTGCAAGCATCCTGAAAGGAAGTATCCTAATGCCATTCTGCCTTCTAACAGCCAGTACAGGAAGAAAGATGTGTGTAACACTTACTGTTGGCTTCACCAGCAACTGACCCATTACTGTAAACATCCGTGACAGTCCCACTGGCGTGCATACTGCAGAGGAAGAAAGATTATGCAAAACAGTGACTTGTAAGTCAAAGACCAATTTTTATTTGGATGTTCCATGTGCTATTCCACATATAATCAAATATGGTTTTGAAGAGAACTGCTAGACATTCAAATTCCGGTATGAACTTTAAAACACATTGCTATCATAAGAATTCTTATAAGACAAGCATCTCTCCCCTCCAAAAGCATAACCGTGAATTTTATTGAGGAACTGTGAATTCCATAATCACATATCTTAAACTTCTCAAGTAATTATTTATTCAAAGCACGTGGCACCAGAGGCTATGTCTACACTAGTAAATTCAGCAGTGCCAGGATACATTCCTGGGCATTAAGACTTGATTGTCTACACCAGTAAACTGCTAGAACTATCCCTGGCATGATTTGCCCTGAGCCAGTTAGCACTTTCCCAAACAACTCCCAGGTGCAATTCTGGTGTTCACGTAGTCCAGAAACCATCATCATGATGAAGACACACACAGACACCTTCTGCAAACTGCAATATCACGGATGGAACAACACTAGTTGGCCACAGCACCTGAGAACATCTCAGGCACATTTAATCTATTAGCACAGGTGTAGCTGTCAGGTCAAGAGATCATGAAGCTGCTTTGCTCTGAAAGTTATACGGCAACTTCAGGTGATAGTGGGCTCTGCTAACAGATTTTAAGCTACTTTGCTACAAAGCAGAAACTGGCTCTTTTTGATGGCAGCCTGTGATGCTTTTCAGGTATGGTGCATTTATGTTTGTTGGGAGAAAGGCTCAAACCACGATAACAGAAAATTATTAGTAAAAATCAACAGTTTAGGGAGAATAGCCTTCAAATACTGAAGTGTATAGGTGTATATAGTGTATTCAAAAAGGCTATAACTAAAGCTAGTCTGCCTTTACTGCAGAGGAAACCCGCAGGAAAAGGAGAAAAGAGAAAGGAAGTGATGCTTCAAATCACTGCAATAAGCCTTACTCATACACCACTCCAGCAATTAAGCCAGCTGAAGATCTAATGAAGCTCCACCCCAGCATCTACCACTTTCCCACTGCTGTCTGCTGCCCTTTCAGCTACACAGTGATTTGCTGAAGTTATTACAAATAACTCTTTCAAAAATTGGCATTTAACCCCAACGATTCGGGTGAACTGTTTTACAACAGCCCCAGAACACAAGCTGTGTTTTGAGCTCTGCTAAAACAAACTGCAAGACAGATGTAGGAAGTTTGTAAGCCAACCTCCCCATTAAAACATCCAGCAACTGTTGTGAATCACAGTCTTGAAAGTCTACAGAAGACATTCAGAACTTTTTTTTTTTTTCCAATCCCCCCCTCCCTTCATTAAAGTGGATTTAAGAATCTCCACATACAGAGAACCTAAGGAGACTCACCAAGGTCTCTGCGAGCAACACCTTCCAGAGACAGAGTTGCTTAGTTTTAAGGAAGTTTCAAGCTATTGTTCCCCAATCTTTCTCCACAGTGACAGCCCTGTAAGTGTTAGCTGTAAACCTATAAAGCCTGGAGAACAGGTGAAACCATGATAATCCAGAAAGGGAGATGTCCTGTCCCCCTCACAGCAATTTTCTATAAATCACTAGGGGAGGGGATAGGAGGAAATGCTAAGTGGGATTTGGAACCTTCCATTATCTTCCTTATTCCCCTAAATGTGGATGACTGAACTCTGGGTAGGACCAGTTGGTATCAGGTTGGTGATTTTTACTACTTCTGTTTTATATACAGTCCTATAACTGACCTCCACAATGACTAGATACTAGTTTTGTGATTATGAAAGCTAACTGCACTGTGTTCCAACTTCTGTCTATGCAGGATGATTTTCAATTTAAAAAGTTTAAGGAAGGACCATTTACTGAATATAGGACAAACTACATGTACCAAAATAACTTTATCTGCATCCTACTGACCTCCTGCAGACATTTCATTTAAAAACTGTGCTTTTCTTTTGCAGAATGGAGTCCCTATTCTTCAAATACCTGCTTTAAAAAGTTTAAAATTGCAACTATTTTGGGTAAGGTGTGAAGTTCCTCAAAACCTGAAAGCTTAAGGTAGCATTTGTTCACAAACTTCCGAACCCAAGCCTAACAAATTTACATTTAAATTTAAAATTAAGAATGGAAAAAAAAAAATTAGCCTCCAAAAAATTTTTTTTCACAAAGTTAATTTTGCACAATGAAGAACAGTTTCCTTTCATCTTAAAAAAAATTAATATAAATCATTCGTCATTTGGAATAATCAGGAAAATACTTACACAGAAGTAACAAGCATCCCATCAGTGATATACAGGAATATAAATACGGGAGGTAGAATTCCCAGAGGTCTGTAAAGAAAATATTGAGCATAGCCTTAGTTTATTACAAACAGGCTACTTATGTCATAAACACAACTGAATTAACTTCTTAAGTGTTCAGGATTGAACAATTGTATTTTTAAGTATAAACTAAGACTTAGTCAGTTAATAGTCCTGCAGGCAACTAAATCCTCAAGTGTTTTAGCTTGAAAAATATCTTCGGCTTTCATTGCTGAAGTCACTTGTTTTTAACGTACCTCATGTCCACATGAGCATGGAACCTCTCAGCATGCTAAAACCAGATTTAACAGAAAAAACGGTATTGACTAAATTAATACAGCTTCTTCACAACCTGGGCAATATTCACATGGTATTTACTAGAAATATATTTAATTGAAAACACCCATTTCCATAATTAAAATGAAACTAGTGTGGTGGGGTGTTTTTTTTTAAATTCCATACCATATAAAGACTCCATACTGGCAGCATCATTGTCTATGAGTGCTGAAGCCACCCATACGATTCCAAGGATAAGCAGTGCAAGAAGAATAAGCATTACAAGGGTTTCCAAAATGCGTGCTCTGATGCCCTGTGGGCAGAAGAGGGGAGAGGGAGGAAAGAACACAGCCAAGAACTTTGAATCAGATATTTTCAAACATAAGAAAAATACAAATAAATAGCAGTTCCTTCTTCCTAAACACATACTCACATTTTATCATGTAGACAAAAGCACAATATGTAACGCACATTTAAAAGGCAATGCATAAAAAAAGGAAGTACTTATGGCTTTATAGTGCCCAGATTGCATTTTGACTTTAAAACCACAGAAAAATGTTTTAAATTGCTTATGTCTTACAGTTCTCATTAATCTCATTATTCCATAAAGTATTCTTTATACCAGATGATTTTGCTCGAGCATTTTTAAAAGATGGATTACTTTTCTAATACTTTCAGCAAAGAAAGTGGATTAGCAAATTTTTATCTATGATTCCAATCAAGGGAATGGAAAGCCAATTATGGCAAATGGCCAAATGGCCCAGCAAGCATTAAACCCTGCGCAGGTACAATGCACCAATTTAGTTAAAATACATTCTTCAAACTGCAAATTGCTTCTGCACCATTCCTCACAGTCTTCAGAGCCCTCAAGCGCACGGCTGGAGTACTGCTCACCCGCACACTGCTGCTGCAGCAGCCGCATCCACCACCTCCCATCTCTGCATGCTCCACACTGAACGAAACACACACAAATCACAGGCCTACAAGGTTGTATCAGAGCATTTGCTCGAGTCTAAAAATGTAACAATGCCCTAATAATTGTGTTAGATTTGCAAATGTAAATATACCAAAAAATACACAAAGTAATATTTAAAATTTTTTAAAGTGGTATTTTTAACTCTGATTTTACTAATTTCAAGCAACAGAGCTATCAGGACACTTTCTTCGGACATCCTTGCCATTAAGGAACCATCAGATTGCTGTTTGCACAAAAATTTTACTTTTATTTTTCTTCATTTGCCAGTCTACATCTCCACAAACAAATCAAATCACTTTTCTCACACAGTTTCACTCCAACTTGGGCATATTTCACTTAAAAGTCTACTTTATAGTTAAAAGCGGAAAGTTTGTTTTACTTTATTGTTTGTCTACTTTTACCACCTCTTCCCTCACTGTAGCGTCGCCTTTACATGACATTTACCCTGAAAATTATGTTCCTGCATAACCACTGCATCCAACCATGAGTGAGGACCTCAGCCATCCTAACCATGAGCATTGATCTTCTAGCACACCAATTCCTCTCCACCATCAGTCCTCTGCAGAACAGCTAAGGTAGCATGAAGGAAAAACAGAGACCTTCATAAAATTCCCCTTAAGGCTAAGTGGGCAGATTAAGTCCAACTCCATAGAAGATCTCCAATACCTAATTTCAAATTAAAGGTAGTATGGGCAGAATATGGATTTACTCCTAGAATGTATTTTGTGTATAATAAAAGTGGCTTTGAGGTTGTTAAAAGTTATTAAAATGATATTTTTGTAGTGCTCAGAAACTAGCTTTCAGTCTTCCATGGGTTATTTTGAAGGTGAACATCGAAGCCAAATATACATATTTGAAGACTAAATAGCCATATGTTTAATATTAATGTTTTGAACTTGAGCAATAAGTTACCAGGAAACAAGCAGATTACAGTCTAAGTACTGAACATTGATATAAAACCTTTAGTTTACAGCAGAAGAAAGTCACAGCATTAGGATAAAGCCCAAAACATTCAGGGACGCATGCACAGAGATCTCCTTCAAGCTTTCCAAAAACCCTGAAGATGCTTTTCTCTCCTAGGCAGAGGAAAATATAAAGCTAGCTTCTGGGTTTCTGAAAGGCTTAGCCACAGCAAGTGGATTCCTTACTTCCCTACTATGAGACACAAGCACAAATCCCAGCCTCTCTGACTTGAAGTTTCATAGCAACAGATTCTTCTGGACAAACCTGGAAAATATTACATTTTACATGGCAACCCGAACTCCTCCCTTGGATGGAGTAGCACAGTCGTCAAAAAAGAGATACTGCAATGGAGACAGTCAACTGTAAGTAAATTTTTTTCCTATTTACTGCAAGTGTTCTCTGAAGACAGGTTCGATTAGGACCATACAAATAGCACTCTCTCTCAAACAGAGATGACCACAGCAAATACTTGGGGGTAGCCACTGCTTGTGGCCAGAAGTACCACTGGCACAAACTCTAGAAAAAGCCAGTCGGCTGCCTAATGAATCTTCCCTATTTTTTGGTTTCCATGCTAGTTTGAATAATCTTTGATTCTCAGAAAACTGGATCAATCTCACAGAATCACAGAATTGCCTTGACTGGAAAACACCCATATGATCAAGTCCAATCATTTACCTAACACTTCTAAGTCCCCCAAACCATGAAAAAAACATGTCCCTCAGCACTATGTCTACACAACTCTTCAATCCCTCCAGGGACGGGGACTCCACCACTGCCCTGGGCAACCCCTTCCAATGCCTCAGAGCCCTTTCAATAAAGAAATTCTTCCTCACATCCAATCTATCTCCTTCTGTTCTTACTAGTTAAACCTGTCTCTGCACCTATGTGATACATCCACAAGACTGCAGTCTCATGAATGCACTGAAAAGCAAGACTGACAGTTCATTCCAAGGGCAGAACAATTTTTATATTACACAGCACACATACAATAGGATTCACACACCGATGATAATTTTTTAAAGTAAAATAGTAATATTTTGTAGAACTTCAGTGAAGTGACCAGATAGAAACATTCTGTCATAAGCATTTATGAATACCTAGTAACTGCTGGGGGCGGGTTTAAAGGATATAGGTAAATACTTAAATCTCAATTAGGCACCCATAAGACTGTGCCCTATTAAAACATTAATGTTCCAGGCACATTAGTTCATATGTACATACATTAGAGTACCTGTCAAACAGCTGCTATTTGTAAGGAATTAAAGGCACAGAATTTCCCCCTCACACACATACACAGAAAATTTCTGGAGAATCACCAAATGGTTGAGGTTGGCAAGAACCTCTGGAGGTCATCAGGTCCAAACCCCCTGCTCAGGCAGGGCCACCCAGAGCCAGTTGCCCAGGACTGTGTCCAGGTGGATGGAGATTCCACAACCACCCTGGGCAACCTGTGCCAGTGCTCAGGTACCCTCACAGTAATTAAAAAAAAAAGTGAGAAGCAATCCTTAGACATCCTTACTACTTCTTATTTTTGCTGAAGGTAGGTTTATTTGTTCAGGTGAAAAATGTAAAGCTTGAACATTAACATTAATAACATCACTTATTTACGAGCTGGGCAAAAAATCTGTACTCCCGACTTCCAGAACAGAGAGAAAAAAAGGCAAATACAAGCAACATTTCACTTTATTACAATGCAAGCAAATTATGCAAATAAACACTGAAATTCAACATTGAATTTATTTTTTTCTGAGCAACAACCTCTTCACTGACATTTTGGTTGTGGCTTAACATTTCTTCTTTGAGTCATTTCACTTATCTCCCACAGCTCCACTGTATTACTCAGATTTCTTAGATGAAGCAAATGCCATGGCACACCATCATGGCACAGAAGATATTACCCCTTCTATTCACATAATACTTGTTACACTTTTTGAATTCATTTGCTCCTCACATTTTTCTGAGTGAAAAACAGCGTTAGAGTCTGCCACCTTCAAAAACAGCAACAATCCCATCTAGAACTGGAGATTTTAAACCAGCTTGTGAGAATACATTTATTGTTCATGTTCAGTCTACACAACCCTTATCTGTCTTGAGTACAGAAGTAACGAGTATAATCTGAGAAAAAAGAAAATGTAGTGTAAGTGTGTCGGTCTACTTCAAATTAGCATTCTAACGAAGCAAAGAAAAATAGTCATCCAGCACTAAATCTTGGTGACAAAAAAAAGTGACTGCATTTGAATCAGCTGGGAAAGTTCTTTGATTCCTCGTGATCAGTGTGCAACTGGAAACAAAGCAAACCTTTACCACACAAGTGACAGAGGTGGCCTTCCCAGCAAGTTAAGTGTATGTGCACGTGCTTGCGTGCGTGCACGTACAGGGGTAGGTAAGGGAAGAAGCAGGGAACAGTCACCTTTTACACCAGTGCTTTCCAGTTTGATTGTTTAATCAGGAGAAATTGCCTCATGAGCTCCTATGACCACTGCTTAAGATTCCTATAGAAACTAAACTGACTATAATAAAGCGGAATTGGAAAATACTCTGTATTTTTAGCTTTCCATATTGTATTCGAGAAGGAAAACTAAGCTGTCCAAGTCTTCACCTAAAGCTTCTTTTCCTAATTGTTCCAACAGGTAAAAACAAGGAAAGTAAGCACTATGCAACCAACCAGCCTGCATCAGGTTTTTCATTAAGTCGTTCTCGATCTCAACATTCAAATCTGCAGCTGATAACACAAATACTACTTCATTCTTAAGGTGTCCCTCATTACAAACAGAATGCACATACCACAATCAATTCACTGTCTTCTGAATTATTTTAATGCAATTCCACTTGTAGTTTAACCTGTTTTAAGGGAGGGAAAATTTATTCCTATCCCAACCAAGCATGGATTGCACAGTAGAGCACCAGAAGGATACCTCCAGGATGGAGGCTGGACTAGATGACCTTTGACAGTCCCTTCCAACCCAAACTATTTTATGATTCTATATTAACAGAAAGAGGAAAAAACACTGCATCTATCCAACATTAATGCTTGAATTCCTCTTGCATCTATCCTACGTTAATGTTTGAATTCTTTAAATACAAGATACAGACTGAAACAAATTATAAATGTCTATACAGCTTATTAAGGGAGGCATAAAGAGAACAACCTTGACACCACTATCAATTAAAATATCAAACTCATTTCAGCACAGCATTAACTACACGGTCTTAAGTAACACTCTCATGCTACAGACTTATAAGATGAATACAATCATAGCCTTTAGAAATAATTAAAAACTTTCTCAGGATGGATTGTATTGTTTTTAAATATGGTGATAAAATAATTCTAAAAGAAGAATAAGCTCAAGCAATACACTTGTTTTATTTTC